CACCTCAGTCGTGGTATTGAAGGTGGAAGAGAGCACTGTACATTCACTCCCCCCACCTACAATTCCTGCCGGACCCGAGACTCGAAATCGCAACCTTTGGGTTACGAGTCCGACTCTCTAACCATTAGGCCACGACTTCCCCATAAAATTACCATATCTCCTGAGAGGTGTTTTAAAAAATGCAGACAAAAACCCAAAACGCTGAAATGTCAGAATCCACAATGACTCCACAAAATCCAGCCCACAATTTGACACTCTCCTATTTCTGCCATCACCTTTTTTTTCAGTTTAAAAGAAATTAAAATCTTAGAAAATGCATTAATAAAACAATAAGCCACAAAAGGAGTGATTTTACCTTAGTTAGTGATTTTAGCACAGTTACTGTAATAAGTGTTGTAAGGTGTAAGAATCTGAGAAAATGTCTATAATGCATGATTTTAAGTACTCTTATAAAATGTTAAACTGAGGAATATGACATAAAATGCCAATGTTAAATAAACTGAATGATCTAACCCTTCCACACTGTAATACTGTTCATTAGCCTAACAGCAGGCTAAGTTTACCACTCAGCTATTACACTCTATGGCAAATTTGACTGATGTACCATCACAGGTATGCGCATATTAATTATTTTACACATCCTGTCAGATTATAGAGCTAGAATTACCCATATTATTGTACCACCCTCAAAGAAAATGAGTTTTCTAATGGAATTTCATGCTCAATTCCTTTCCTACTGTTGCAAAACTCTCAATAAAAGCAATTTTACCTTGAAGCGAGTCCTCTCTGCAGCATACTTCTGGTAGTGTACCATTGCCTGTAATACTTTCTTATGCCCGTCGGGCACCAAGCAAACAGCACCCAGGATCTCCAACACAGCCACTTTGGTCTTGATGTTGTCCTGGCGGAGGCTTTGGGAAATAGTGTTGATGCTCTGGGGGTGGGCCAGTACATGGGCACGGCCCTGGGAGTTGTTCATCAAGGCTTTGATGCAGCCGATGATGGATGTATGTATGCGGCTCTCTGAGGTTTCATAGTCCATGCTCTTCAGGAAGTTCAGAAGACACGTCAAGCCATCCAACTCGATGAAGCGTGTCACAAACCTGAAGGGAGAGTCATCAAAGGTTTTGTGAGGTTGATTTTTTCCAATGCCTAGAATGTCAGGAAACAACTATCATTGCCACACTGTTCTCAAAAACATGAACAGCACACTGATCCAACAAAACTCACCTTTAGAACAGGGCCTTAACTAGGAAAGCGCCTTTGAGATCTCATGAATTATATAAATAAAATTGTGTCAGTTTCATACAAATGATCTTAGGAAGTACTTGGTAAAAACCAGAAGGCACTATCTTTAAAACTGCAGAAATCTTGGGAAAAGTCACAGATGGCTTCTTTATATATTCAGCTGCACAAATAAATAAGACATAAAACGGTATAATGAACAAGTCAACCATAAAAACCTGTCAATGCAGAATGAGCATGTATCCTCACATTCATCATATTGAGCTAAACCAGGGACTCATTATTCAGATTAATTAAGGTCAAGCATGTCATTAACCCCTTCTCAAGAGTGGCCAATCAAGTGACAACGTGTTTCTACATTCCTGCTCTTTATGTGACTTTTCCATGTTAACCAATTACAGACACTGTACTGACAACAGAGGTAGATGGTGGTGGTTGAGGGACAGACACTTATCATCTGTAATTTTCAAATCAATGCTTGCCAAGTTGAAGCTCGCTTTCTAGGTGAAGTGAGATGCATGTTTTTCATTGCCAGCGGGTGCCAAGAAAACCATGCATCTCCCTTTATCTAGAATAAATCAGTTCTGTTATTATCCCATATAGTGTGGCTCCTCGCCTCCTGCAAACATGATCAAACCTTAGTTCCAAAGCAGACATGGCTCACCTGGCATGGCTTAGTGATCTTTGGGTGACCTATAATCTTTGAGAGCAATGTACACATGAGATCATAGCTGGCACAGTCGTTTGACTTCTCCTCACCTCACTACTACTGTCTGGACTAGCCCCTTATCCAATTTCCACATCAAATTTATGCTAAGAGTTCACAGACCGTTTCATGGTTAGGCCCTATTTTGCTACTCCAGTTTTTTTACAGTACATAAAGGGCTTATTGTAAAATAGATTACTTAATTTGTCATCTTACTCCAAACATTTTTACCAAAAGTTTCATGGTACATCCATTATTGTTGTATTCTTTGAAATACCTAGGAATACTATTTAAATAGCAGGGAATATAAATATTGTACAGGTGCATCTCAAGTAATTCAACTCAAATTGTGAAACTCGTGTATTAAATAAATTCAATGCACACAGACTGAAGTAGTTTAAGTCTTTGGTTCTTTTAATTGTGATGATTTTGGCTCACATTTAACAAAAACCCACCAATTCACTATCTCAACAAATTAGAATACTTCATAAGACCAATAAAAAAAAAAATGTAGTGAATTGTTGGCCTTCTGGAAAGTATGTTCGTTTACTATACATGTACTCAATACTTGGTAGGGGCTCCTTTTGCTTTAATTACTGCCTCAATTCGGCGTGGCATGGAAGTGATCAGTTTGTGGCACTGCTGAGGTGGTATGGAAGCCCAGGTTTCTTTGACAGTGGCCTTCAGCTCATCTGCATTTTTTGGTCTCTTGTTTCTCATTTTCCTCTTGACAATACCCCATACATTCTCTATGGGGTTCAGGTCTGGTGAGTTTGCTGGCCAGTCAAGCACACCAACACCATGGTCATTTAACCAACTTTTGGTACTTTTGGCAGTGTGGGCAGGTGCCAAATCCTGCTGGAAAATGAAATCAGCATCTTCAAAAAGCTGGTCAGCAGAATAGACTGAGCATGAAGTGCTCCAAAATTTCTTGGTAAACGGGTGCAGTGAC